CTTTGGAGCTGGGTGATCTTGGGCACAATCCTTTGCATCTCTGTGTTTCAGTTTTCTCATTTCTTTTTCTTCCTTTTTTTTTTTTTTTTTTTGAGTTGATCTTACTCTGTCACCCAGGCTGGAGTACAGTGGCATGATCACTGCTCACTGCAACCTCAACTTCCTGGGCTCGGGTGATCCTCTCACCTCAGCCTCTCAAGTGACTGGGCCTACAGACATGCACTACCACACTCAGCTATATATATATATATATATATATATATATATATTTATTTATTTATTTTTTTTGTAGAGTAGATGTCTCACTATGTTGCCAGGCTGGTCTCTAACACCTGGCCGCAAGTGATCTTTCCACCTCAGCCTCCCAAAGTACTGGGATTATAGACATGAGTCACCATGCCTGCGACTTTATTGATTGCTTCTTGGCTTTAAGAGGTTCTTCTCCCTCCAGATTTTTGGTGAACATTCACTTCTGTTTTTAACATTTTTGTTATTCTGATGATTTTAGGGCTTGATTGTGATTTTGGCAGGTGGTAGGCAGGCGACATTGGGTCCTGTGCCCCCTGCTGTCTTGAGGAAGGGAACTGAATTAGTCAGGAGTCTCTGATAGAATGTGACAGAAGGTTGGGCACGGTGGCTCAAGCCTGCAATCCCAGCACTTTGGGAGGCTGATGCGAGAGAATTGCCTGAGACCAGGGTTTCGAGACCAACCTGGGCAACTTGGTGAGACCTCGTCTCTACAATAAATCAAAAAAATAAGCTGGACATGGTATCGTGAGCCTATAGTTCCAGCTACTTGGTTGTTTTGTTTGGTTTTTTGTTTTTTTTTTTTTTTTTGAGTTGGAGTCTCACTCTGTTGTCCAGGCTGGAGTGCAGTGGCACACTCACAGCCACCCCACCATTGACTGCTGGGCTCCGGCAATCCTTCTGCCTCAGCCTTCGAAGTAGCCAGAACTATAGGCACACGCTACCATGCCTGGCTAATTAAAAAAAAATTATTTATTGTAGAGACAAGGTCTTGCCAAATTGCCTAGGCTGGTCTTGAACTTGTGGGCTCAGGCAATCCACTCACCTCAGTTCCAGCTACTTGGAAGACTGAGGCGGAAGGATTGCCTGAGCCCAGTAGGTTGAGGCTGTGGTGGCCGTGAACATGTCACTGCACTCCAGCCTGGGCAATAGAGTAAGACTCTGACTCAAAAAATAAAGTGACAGAAACTCCAACTTGAACTGGCTTGAGTGAAGGAATTTTGGGGATCACCTGAGTGAAAAATGGTGAGGGGCAGGAATGCTTTCAGGCATGGCTGAACTTGGGGTCTAAGTGATAGCATTGGATATGACAGTTTCAAGGCTAGTTGAGTTGGCTTCAATCTCACGTCTCTTAGGGTCATGCATGGTGGCTCATACCTGTAATCCCAGCACTTTGGGAGGCAGGAGGTAGGAGGATTTTGAGGTGGGAAGATTGCTTGAGCCCAGGAGTTTGAGACCAAACTAGGCAACATAGTGAGACCCTATCTTTATTAAAAATAGATAAACAAACAAACAAACAAACAAATAAATAAATAAGGTTATTTGTGGGAGTCCTGTGATTCCAGCTACTTGGGAAGATCCTGTGAGAAGGTAAATCATTCTAGACTCTTCAGAGTGTAGTAAATATAGGGAGTGGGTTCCATAGGTAATGGAAGAGTCGAGAAGCCAAGTAGGAAACAGTGAGGCACACCGGGGATTCGCCACTGCCACTCCAGGAGGCTGCTACCCCCCTTAGCCAGAAGGACGAGAGGGGGAGGTGAGCCATCTGGAAGGCACAGACCCACGGCTGAACTGCTCAGAGGCAACTAGGATCAGAGGAGAGAGACACCACCGGAGGCAGAGGTTGAGAAGGGGATTGATAAATACCCTGGCCCGTCCTCTCCTCCCAGAGCCCACCTTGTGCCAGGGCCTCCCATTAGTCAAACACACTGATTTGCTGGTGAGCAAAGGAGGGGGGAAATGAAGTCCTTGCGATCCAGGACAGGACAGGATGGGGAATGGATCCGAGAGCAGAAAGGCAAATGACCGACTGAGCTATGAACAACCTGGCAGGAGTTCTAATAGCTGCCAAATCTGGCAGAAAACAGGTTGTCGGCTGGGTGCGGTTGCTCATGCCTGTAATCCCAGCACTTTGGGAGGCGAGGCAGGGGGATCACTTGAGACCAGGAGTTTGAGGCCAGCTTGGGCAACACAGTGAGACCCCATCTCTATTTACCAAAAAAAAAAAAAAA